GTATGAAGAAGAAACAACTCAGTAGAAAAATGAGCAAAGGATAGAAAGAGCCAATTCATAAACCACAAACATATGCCAATAAACATATGAAAAGACTTGATTTATCAGGAAAATGAAAATTAAAACAAGTTATCATTTCACATCTATAAGACTGGCAAAATTTTTTCAAGGCTGGCAAGGTGAGCATGTAGGTTGGTGTAATTACTTTAGAGAATGATTTAGCAATAACTGCGGAGCTGAACTTATGCTTATTTTATAATTCAGGACATTCCACAGTGGGCATTTTTAAGGCCAGGTGGGAATCCTGGTCAGAGTTCCATTTTCTCCACACTTTTGCATTGGGAGGGATACTATCTTATTGCTGGTTTGCTATTAGCATAAAGAATCTGCCACTAATATTCATTGGGTAGGAGTAGGGGAGCTACTGACTTATCACCTGTGTGCCACACACATACGTATGTTGTTATTCCAGCAGGCCTCAAATCTGTTACCCTACAAAGTGAATACTTTTTTTTACTATTTATCGTTGTCTGTATTAAGCTATTTTAAAAATAAAGCAATATAAAAGAAAAACAGATACTGTCTTAAAAATAGTCAAAATAGCTCTTGTTTTTCTGTAGATTATTCATTGCTATTTCCTGAGAGACCTTTCCTCAAAAATATGTTTGTAAGAAGGTTTGAGATTTCAGAATTATTTTTCACTTTCTGCTTTGCATTTTTATGTAGGTATAAATAGAACAGCCTTAAGAGAGATAAAATTATTACAGGAGCTAAGTCATCCAAATATAATTGGTGTGAGTATGATCTAAATTGTTTCTGGGATTTGGGACCCTGCCATTTCTGAATGTGGTAGATGTTAATCGAAGGCCCAGCAGGAGAATTTGTTCTAGGTGAGCCTTGCAAAAAAGCTTTAAAGCTTATCAGGCTGAAATGCACTTTCTATCGTAATTGTTCCAGTAGGTACGCTTTTTAAAACTATACAACTGGTAAAGTAAATTAAATATTGGCATACAGGCTGATTTTGCCAGAAATCATTTTAAAGCCTAGAGAGCTTTAGCGTGTGTAAAACCTTGAACAAATTTTCTCATAGTTCTATGCCATAGTCCCTACCTCGTAGGGTTGTTGGAGGACTAACTACATGTAAAGAACCTGGAGTACTGCCTGTCACAGAGAGTGCACTCATCCAGTGAATGGTAGCTGCCACTGCTATTTATAGTATTTTCTTAAGAGCTGAGCTTTTGAATTTTTCTGAATTAGAAACTGAACTGAGGCTTTCATTAACTCATTTTTTAATTTATAACTCCCAAAATATGAGGGGAGAGGTTAAGTATTTAGTGATTTTTTTTAAATAGTAAAGTTTAATGTTTTTGTGCCTTAAAGTACTAATTCCTAGGAAAAATAAATGTCAAAATTATAAAATAATTTAAAACTTAGAGAATTACCAACAACCCAAGTGCTTGTTTAAATTTTTTTTAAATTTCAACTTCAGTTGGCATAACACTGTTAACTGTTTAATGGAGAACATATTTTGATTTTTTTTTTCTTTTGCTCTGCAGCTCCTTGATGCTTTTGGACATAAATCTAATATTAGCCTTGTCTTTGATTTTATGGAAACTGATTTAGAGGTGAGATGATGATTCCTAGGGGAATTTTTTTTCTCTGCTTATCAAAGAAAACCTGAATGTTTATTTTCTATGTATGAAGATATTGGTAGTTAAAACTTATGCTTAATTTTGGTGAAATCTGGATTTACCCTAAAGCCAAGAATCTTCTGGCTCCTTTGGCCAAATTCCCACTGTTAAATACAAAGATTTGGATTTCATTAATATTTATATCTACCAAGTTCCCCAAACCTTACTGATATTATTTTTTAAAGAAAGGAGTGTCATGTTGTTGATAATTTAGAGATTCTTTTCCATTTTATCACACAACATTATCCTTTTGGAAGCCAAGTTTCTTTTTTGAAACAAACATGATCTTAATGCCTTTCATTAATGTTAACTGAATCTCAAAAACTTAACAGTCCAAAGATGTGGCACAACTGCTGGTGAGAATGCAAATGGTACATACACTTTGGAAAACAGTGTGGCAGTTTGTCGAACAGTTAAATAAACACTCAAAGTATGAACTGGCAGTAACACTACTAGGTATTTATTCAAGAGAGAAAAAAAAACGTGTCGACACAGAAATCAGTTGGTACACGGTTGTTTTATGTTACTCATTGTTGCCCAAACTGCAAACAATAAAATATCTTTCATCTAGTGAATGTATAATGCAAACTGGAATACTATTTGGGAATGAAAAGAAATGAATCACTAACACATTCAGTATTATAGATGAATCTCAAAGGCATACTAATCTTAAGAGAAGCCAGGCTCAAAGGCTTTATATTGTATGATTCCACTTATATGATACTCTGGAAAAGGTAAAACTAAAGGAATAGAAATCAGATCAGTGGTTACCAGGATTGGGAGTAGAGGGAAGAAGTGAGTACAGAGGGGCCTGAAGGAATTCTGTGAGGGTTATAAAACTCTATCTTGATTATGGTGGTGATAACACACCCCTAGATGCATTAAAACTCATGGAACTGTTGCACTAAAAACAGTCATTTTAAAAAAGAAAATGGGAATTTTTAGCTAGTAAAGCTGGTAAGTCTGGGACTAAATGGCTTTAGGCACAGCTCACAAATAATGCTGTCAGAACTTAGTCTTGCAGTTTAAGCCCTATTTTCTTTTCTGTTGCCTTCATTCTTGGGCATAATTTCTCAATTTAGTGGCTCAGATACTTCCAGGCTTTTATCCTTAGAGTTTAATAATCACTGAGGAAAGAGTTTTGTTCCCTTTGATTCTAGTTACAAGTACTTGGCCTAGTTGATTAGCCTGGCTTGAATCACATGTCTATCCCTGGACAGCAAGTGGCAGTGTGGTGGGTGGCTATGCCTGAGCCATGTGCTTACCTCTAGAGACTGTGGGGTGGTGGTTGGTCCTGTTTTACCCACGTGGACTGAGCTGAGAACAGGTGGTGTCCCAAAGGAAAGTTGAAGGCTCTTAGTGTAAGAGGCTATATACATCCTGGGGCAAGTGAAAACAAAAGGTGTTTACTACATTGATGCCTAAATACAAAGCAGTAGGAGACAAATCACTGTTTTCTTTCTAAACCAAAGGGACCTTCCCTAACCACATAACTGAAAATTCTGACAGTGCTTCATAAGTAGAGTTAGGCAACTTCTCGAGATTGTCCTATAAGAGTAAATTTATCTTATGTCTATAAATGGAGTTTATTTGGAATAATAAAGTGTATACTGTATACCTGCTTCACAGGTTATAATAAAGGATAATAGTCTTGTGCTGACTCCATCACACATCAAAGCCTACATGTTGATGACTCTTCAAGGGTTAGAATATTTACATCAGCATTGGATTCTGCATAGGGTAAGGTTTTTAACCAAGTCTGATTGCTTTTTTTTGTTGTAGTCAAGTTTATGTAGCCAATTTGTTACATAAGTGGCCTGAATAGGTAAGTTGTTGAGTTAAGATTTAGCTAGACCATTTTATCCCACCTTCTTCCTCTGTGTGTTCCCTTCCATTGTTCTGCCAGGTATATTGTGAGGACTCTGAATTACAACATGAAATTTGGAAGTGGAAGAAACCTAGTCTTTTGTTCTTTTTCATAGATGAAGAGCTGAATTGTTAAGTGACCTGATCCAGGTCATATATATTTCCCAGATCAATATCTCATAACTGACACAATATTAGAACCTATATCTTTGGCTTTAAGTCCAGTGTTCTCTGTGCTATACTGTTACAAAAAATAAAAATATGATCAGAGTCTGGATTAAATTATACAATGCTAAAATACCTTTAGAACAATAATATTTCTAGTGGCTCTAAAATTCTATGAAGTAATGAAATAAAATTTCTGAAATGCTTGAATCATTGTTAGAAACATTCAGCTATTAGAACAAGTCTGGTAATTTAAGCAGATGTTCTTAGGCACCTTATTTAGATAAATAGCTCAGAATATATAGTTTATAGTTAGTAATTCTCATATCTTAAACTTGGAATCCCTTTTAGGTTATTGCTAGTATTTTTTTAGCAAAGATTTTGAAGAATATGTTCCTCATCCTTCCTAAATGCATAACAGTTTTAAAGTTCATATATATTATTGTTATTAAATTAACAGCAGTAACCATTTATTGAGTGCTTATTATAAGCTAGTCATTATACTAGCCTCTTTACAGAAAATATTAAATGTAATTCTCACAGCAACCCTGTAAAGAAGGTAAATTGAAGCTCAGTAAAATTAGTTACTTGACCCAAGTCCTCACCAAGTAATATGACCAATTTAATTTTGTTTTGACAGGATTTCACATCAATGAAAAAAAGTGATTGTTGTTTAAATTTGGGATGTCACCCAGTTTTTGTAGTTTAAAGTTAAGCCAACTGTGTCATTATGGTATTCTCCCCTACCCTGCTTACTTATTTGTTTGAAACCTCTATGATATAGGATCTAAAACCAAACAACTTGTTGCTAGATGAAAATGGAGTTCTAAAATTGGCAGATTTTGGCCTGGCCAAATCATTTGGGAGCCCCAATAGAGCTTATACACATCAGGTTGTTACCAGGTAAGACTCCTTTAAATAACTGAAAGCTTATATAGTGTAGGATGTAATCACCAATGAGCACTGTTTGGCTTCTCTGAAATACCTTGGCAGAGTCCAGGAGTCATTGTTAGTGTTTTGTTAAAACTATAGCCCTTTTCACTTGTTACCACCATGGAAAAAAAATAACTCTTCTTTGAAGCAGAGTTGAATCAACTCAGTCCTCAGAAATTTATATAGTAGCTTTTGGGACTAATGTATGCTACTTTTACATTTTAGTTAAGTAGTTTGGCACTTTAGAGGCTATTCTTTTACATAATCACCTTGAGAGCGTGTGTTTATTTTATTGGTCAATCTTGATTTCGTATTTTGTATTACTCATTGTGAATGAGAATTCTCTAAACAAATCAGTGCATTGATATTTAGATTTTTTGTGTTACTAGTACTTGTATTTTCTTTTTATACTTGTTATGTGTAAAAGTTTAAAATCACATTAAATAGATCAGGACAGTAGATTTTATAATTGTCAGGATGACATTTGTTAATTTCCAAGGCTCTTTAAGTATATATGGAAATATTCAAATTTTTTTATCTGTGCTTTTAAACTTTGTCACCTTCTTCCAAATAGATCTTATTGAGTGTCAATCGTCTGTGCCCTGAGTAAGAAGTAAGGGATAGAAGTAGTTTTTCATGTAATCAGTAGAAAGATAGAGCCCATCATTCAGGAATCTTGGGACTCAGGAAAACAGGTATCCAAAAGCATTGTATTCTGGTGCTTTTCATCTACCAATTTTTCATATATTCTTTTCTTGCAAATCAAATGCTACTAATAGGCCGAGCTAAGATGAGGACTGAGAATTGACAATTAAATTAATGATTTATATATTTTTGATAACTTTGACAGGAACAGCTGTGGTGGAGGGGTGGGATGAGAGCTTGACTGAAAAGGGTTTAAGGGGAAGAGAGAGGAGGAACTGGAGACAGTAAGAACAGACAGCTCTTCAGACTGTCCAGAGAATGAGTAGGTAGCTGTTAGGGGAAGGAGGAGCCAAAGGCGTTTCTTTGTTCTTTGTTTTTGTTTTTTTTAAGGCCTGGGAAATAATGCTGTTACAGTGATGGCAAAAGTCTACTAAAGATCAAAAAGTTGATGTAGGAAAAAGAAGAGAGAATTGCAGGAGCAGTGTCCTTGAAAATAGGCAAGAAAGCATGATAAATAGCGCCCAAGTTGAAGGATCAGAACAGTCAAGAGCAGTTCGTCTGTAGTTAGTAAGATGGGTGACAGATTGTGTGAGGACACACATTGCGTGGATTTTTTTCAGTGTGTAGGTCACCAGCAGAGAGGAAGGATGGTGTTGAGGGTTTCAGGAGAAAGAAGGTATTAATCATCTAAAAGAGTGGGAGAGTGAATGGACCAAGTATGTATGAAATTTCCTGGCAGCAATATGGAACTATGTAATTTTGTAGCTAGTTTTTCATGAGTTAATACATGAAAGTGAATTTCATCAGTGAGATAATGTTCTGCTGAGAAGTTTAAGAAATACTTTAATAGTTCCATTCTAAAATGACAGTATTTCTTCTTGTTTTTCAGGTGGTATCGGGCCCCTGAGTTACTATTTGGAGCTAGAATGTATGGTGTAGGTGTGGACATGTGGGCTGTTGGCTGTATATTAGCAGAGTTGCTTCTAAGGGTGAGTCTTGAATTGATGTTTACATTTCAATTTTGTTACAGTATGTGTTCTTAATTTTTACACAAAATATATCTTCCCAGATATAACTTCCAGAAAGCAGCACCATCCTTACAACAAAAAGCCAGCATACAGACTAAAAAAAAACCCCACCTCCCACAAATGTATTCATTTTAGGAATGCTAATGTGAGGCGAGAAGAACTAAAGATGAGAAGACCATAGAGAATATTAAAAGCTTGATTATAGATCATCTCTATGTTCTGAAATATAATTATATTAAAACCCTCATTGGGTTGTAATATGGTAATATCTCTACAGGAACTAAATGTATTAGGAGAAACTTTTGTACTCCTGGGACTTTTATTTGAGGCATTTTAAAAGTACACTTTAAGAGATGTAATGTCAACCATTGCAGCTTAGTGTGAGAGTTTCATTTTGGTTTTTTTCCAGCAGAGCAGACATGGTGGTTCTAAAGCATTTCTCTGACTGAGACCATTTTACAATAAACGTCCTTTCCCTTCCTTCACTGTAGAGAAAGGTGCTGAATTGGAAAGTTGTCTTCAGGTATAAAATTTAGTTTAACCCTTCTGAATGATGTAGGCAAAAGGATACCAGGGAATCCTTCTAAAGCTGCGAGTTTTTCTCCCTATATTCTAGATTCCAGCCCCTACTCTCCATCTCCTCTAGCCATATGTATTTAAAGAAATGTAAATCCAGGACACAAAAATACAGCTATTTATTTCCTTGAACACAGAAAATGGCTTCTGTACACCAGAGAGAAATTACCTTCCTAAATATCTTTTTTAGTTTAGTTTAAATTCTGTGTGTCATTTAGAGATGCTCACTTCTCTGGGTACTTGGAGAAGAAATCATCACATTTTTGTCTCGGAGATGACATAGTAATCCCTGTGCTGGTAGTGGGTCTTGTGAGTCGGCTGGCATGACACCTCTGCTATTCATAAGAACACAGAGTTTAACAGAAGTTCACATGTGAGAATCTATCAACTTCCAAAAGCACAGTCCATTCATGACCAAAAACAATCCAGAACTTCATAGCCCCTAACGTTATGGCTGATAAATCAGTTGAGAAAGTAAGGAGAGAGACAGCAGTTGAGAAAAGATGGGTTAGCAATTGTGGATTTGGCTGAAATCATTGGAGTTTTATTAGCCATGGACCATGTTGCTAGAATCATTAAGGCTATGAATAAATTGACAGGCAACCATAAATGATGAAGAATTATTCCATTTTTCCATATTTTTGTTCTGCCACAATATCCCTTTGCTTATTTGAATATATGATCCATGGAAATGCTGTCCACATGGTTTTCAATCTGTGGAGAGATCCTGCAGTCTAGATAATAATGAAAAGCAGAATAGTTCAAAAAAATTGCTGTTAACAGCATTCAGCCTTTTCTAAAGTGTTGTTTTCCTTTATGTAAATTTTATAAAAGTAGGTTTAAAAACTATTTAAACTAGAAAACAGGAGGAACGAGTAAGCCTATATCCAACCAAAGTAGTCAATATAGTTTATATCATTTTAGAAGCAAATTGGTCTGCATTCTGAACATTCTCTGTTTTGTTAAATGAAAAGGAATCTAGACGTATTTATACCAATGGAATACTTAGGACTAGTACTATATCATTAAATAGCACAAATGTACTTTTAATGATATGTTTACATTCTTTTTTCTTAATCGTGATTTGAGACAGACAGTGATTATCAGAAAATCTAAACTGGGATTTTGCCTACTGAGCCTTAATCTAGTCTAGACAGTTTCAAAGATAACCATTTTAGTTTATAAAGAAATCTATAGTTTGGAGAAGACATTTTATGCCTTCCTGTAAGGTTGCTGGGCAACCTTCAGGTCTGTAGAGATGATGTGGTATTACAAAGGCTTGATCATCCACCACCTGCCTGCCTTCCTCTTACTTCATTCAAACAATGAGAATCCAGACCTAATGGCTTGGCATATTAATCGTCAGCACTCTTGTCATTGCCATACTTCAGGTCAGCTGTATCAGCTCAGAACAGAGCTTCCATCAGTTGTTTTTGCATCGGTTCCTGGGTACACAGGGCACTAGAGGCTAAAACATTCCAGTTAGTCAAGAATTATATTGTTATGCCTATTGCACTCCCCACCTTACAAATCATCCCTAAAAAGAAACAGACATAAATGCCTCTTTGAAACTGAGAGGTGCCCATAAAACTATGCCAGAAGATATGAAGGCAGAAATGACAAAGTCTAAAAGTCTGCAGAAAAGAATGCCAGCTAGAGGTAAATTTGGTATGGCACACAAAATCTTGAAGTTGCTTAGTACTGAAAGGCACCTATGGGCATTGATAGCAGTAGTGATGTGTAGGACTAAAAATATGTACATAGAGTAGTTAATACCAAGGTCCCTAACATAGCCAGGTTACTTCCCTTCCCCCAACTCTACTTAGCCCCAAGTTTATTCCTTCACTAGAGAAAAGTTTATTCTTCAAAGATTGAAACAGGAATCTCTGGACATGGCCATCCTTACACACAGTAGAGGATGGGAGTGAGGTGCCAGGGTGACAACATGCAATTGCATGGAAGTCTGCACACTGAACAGTAAGACCTTCAAGTTATGTCCCTCTGCTCAGCTTCCAGAACCCTAGCAGCCAATGTAATAACCCATTTTAGCTCATGTGAAATATTAGAGGACCCTTCTCTGGAAGAACTGAATGCTCCAGGAAAACAGACTCACAGCAAGTGGTATTAAGCTCCCTGCCCCCTTTCTAGAGTAAAGCCCATTAGTTAACAAGCTCTCTTCATAGATGCAGTGTTTTTGATCAGCTTTTTTAGTATCTATTCCTTAAATATGAGTGGTTTGCCAATGATCACCATGTAGTTATTAAGGCTTTTCAAATACTTAATGAATGTAATGGATGTGAATAGATTGAAAGTGGCATAAGGCCCCTACTCAGTGAATGAAAGAAAACCCATGCCAATGCGCATTGTGAAATTTCAGAGTACTGGGGTCAGAAAAATATTTTATTTACACAGGAAAAATACAGAAAGCTCACATAACAACCAAAATAAAATAATAGGGATAATGGCATTTGACTTCTCAACACCAACACTGAAACCTGGAAGACACAGAACATTGTGAGGGGAAAATGATTTTCAACCTAGAATTCTGTGCCTATTACCTTTCAATTAGCCATGAGAATAAATATAAATTATCACACTTAAAAATTTCTTAGGAAATTATTGGAAGATAAGCTCTACTTTAACATGAGAGTAAATAAAGCAAAAGACATGGGAACCAGGGAACATGAGATTCAACACAAAAAGAAGTGAATGGAATTCTGTATTTTATAGTAAGGGAAAATTCCAAGAAAACAGGTATGCACCAGGTCAGGAGATCAACCAGACCTGATCATAGCAGGTGGGATGAGAGCTTCAGCAGGGGAGGTCTCCAGGAAAAAATCAGAACTGGTGGGTTTTGATAGATTTGATCATGTAGCAAATTATATTGAATAACTGAAATCATAGGCTTAGGTGCAGAGTTGCCAAAAGGGAGGTGGGTGATGAGAGGGGTTGAGGGAGGAGGGCTAGGAAATCATTACATCTAGGAAAATCAAATTACAAGGATGGAAACTTCTTATTAGGTCTACTGTGAACAAAAATTAAATTATAAATGGGAAGGGGGTGATGATTCAAAGGACCAGTTTTTATTGTGAGTCTGTTCAGTTGAACACAGTGCATGTATTAATTTAATACAGGTAAAACATTTTTTTTTTTAAGTTTAACTTCTAGCTCCAAAGCAGCTCTTTCTTTAGGGAAAAAAAAAATCTTTCTAGTATTTAGTATTTTCAAACAGGCAAAAGCAGAGAGAGTAGTAAAATGAGCCTCTGTGTACCCACCAACCATCTTCAATAGCTTTTAACACATGGCCAAGTTTATCAGTGCTCTCCCACATTTTTTTTGCTACAAATCCTAGACATCATAATTCTATTCATGTTAAAAGATAAGGATTTTTTAGTAACCACAGTACCATTATCATCTGAAAAAAAAATAAGAGTAAATCCTTTTAATAATGTTAAGCACCCAATCTTGTTCAGATTTCCTCAATTTTTTTGTAAGTGTCTTTTATAGTTAGTTTGTTCATATTGGTATCCAAAGTCCACACATTAGGCAGCTCATTTTAATTTAGATTTTTTACATCAGACAAAAATACCCATCCTTAAATTGATTAAATTGCAAGCTTGCCCACAAAACTAAGGCTGTGATGATGAGTGTCCCTCTCTCCAGGTCTCACAGTATGCTTTTCAGTGGTGGTCTGCAAAGCAGGAGGTACTCCTTTGAGGTATAAGAAGAAAGTGTGAGCATGTCTTTAAAATTTTGTGAAATATTATTTAATATTCCTTCTAGTTTCTGTTCCTTTGTGCACTTGTAATACATATAATAGTATAGGAGTTGTATTAAGTTGGGGTCCAATCAGAAAACAGGAACTACACATTAATTTGATGAGGGAAATTTAAAGAATTATGGGTTAAGAGATTAGAATAATGAGGGATCAAATAATAAAAAGTAAAGAGAACTCTAAAGAATATAGGATAAGGAGCCACCACCTTTATCCCTAGGGCCAAGAAAGAACAACCAAGGAAGAGGACCCCTAGAGTTGAGATCTGCAGCTTTCTGAAGAGGACATAATGTAGCTCACTAGATGGTAGAGAATTTGCTGTGGAGCTGTGCTGGCACAACTTGCTGGAAATCTCTCTAGAAAACATGAGAACTCCATCCTCTTGGGTGATAAGGAAAGTTAATTGGAGGAGCATTTCTCTGGAGGCATTATGCTGTAAAACCATCTTCAGGGAGTTCTTGAGGGAAGCTGCTGGCCTCTGGGCACTGTGGAGCGTGGGTCCTGGAGAAGCTACCCCCACTGCAGGAACCTGGCGCTAGAGAAGCCAAGTGCCGCAGTAGTCTTCTGGGCTAGCAAACTGGAACCAGGAAGCACAACCTCTTCCCTTCCTTGATGTCTCTCTAGTGTCCTCTACTGACAAAGCTTCAGTTGGCAGTTAACTTAAAAAATATTTAAAAGCCCAGATCCATTGTCACAGAGAAGGCAAAAAGGATGAATTTGGAATAAACTAATAACTGGCAGAGTTTGATTCTTTACCCCACTCTCCCCTGGCACCTCTGTTAGAGATCCACAGTAATAAAAATGTTGGAGATCTGGAACTTAATCTTATAACCCCCTGGTGAATCTATAAACTTTTTCAAGGGCTTTAACAGTTCCAAAGGCCTCTGTTACTCACTTACTTAGTAGAGAAAACTCTTCTCTTCTATATATTACATAGATGTCTGAGAATAAATTGGAAAATAATGTCTACACATAGCAAGGATTTTGATTTCTTAACAGCTTACGAATTTTTGACTTGAAATTACCCTTTTTAAAAGTTTGCCATATACCTCTTCAAAGAAAGAATATGCCAAGTTTATTTAAGATGGGAATATAGATGTATTCTCTTGCTTCCCAGCTTTTGCACCTGCCCTGTTGTGAGAAGTTTTCTTCCATCTTAGACTTTTCCTCTAGCTGTTCTTCAGCTTTCAGCTTTCACTGTCACTTCCTCTAGGATGCCTTCCCTGGTCTATCTAGAGTTGGCTAGGGTGGACTAACGTCCTGTACTCTCACTGAACACATCATATTGTGAATGCCCTTTTTTGTTTGTATCACCAGTGTTCATCATGTCTGTACTGGAGAGAACAGGAACTGTCTTGTTCCCTCATAAATGCCTACAGCTTACTCAGCACAGTGCATATTACATGGTGTTAAAGATTTGTAGAGTAAATAAAATGGTCAGTGTGGTACTGTTTACTTGATTATCAATATCAGGGTCTAATGTCACATCTCATACTACATTTTAATTTTTTTTGCATTTTAGTTTTTCTTGTTACAATGTTCATATTGGTATCCAAAGTCCACACATTAGGCAGCTCATTTTAATTTAGATTTTTTACATCAGACAAAAATACCCATCCTTAAATTGATTAAATTGCAAGCTTGCCCACAAAACTAAGGCTGTGATGATGAGTGTCCCTCTCTCCAGGTCTCACAGTATGCTTTTCAGTGGTGGTCTGCAAAGCAGGAGGTACTCCTTTGAGGTATAAGAAGAAAGTGTGAGCATGTCTTTAAAATTTTGTGAAATATTATTTAATATTCCTTCTAGTTTCTGTTCCTTTGTGCACTTGTAATACATATAATAGTATAGGAGTTGTATTAAGTTGGGGTCCAATCAGAAAACAGGAACTACACATTAATTTGATGAGGGAAATTTAAAGAATTATGGGTTAAGAGATTAGAATAATGAGGGATCAAATAATAAAAAGTAAAGAGAACTCTAAAGAATATAGGATAAGGAGCCACCACCTTTATCCCTAGGGCCAAGAAAGAACAACCAAGGAAGAGGACCCCTAGAGTTGAGATCTGCAGCTTTCTGAAGAGGACATAATGTAGCTCACTAGATGGTAGAGAATTTGCTGTGGAGCTGTGCTGGCACAACTTGCTGGAAATCTCTCTAGAAAACATGAGAACTCCATCCTCTTGGGTGATAAGGAAAGTTAATTGGAGGAGCATTTCTCTGGAGGCATTATGCTGTAAAACCATCTTCAGGGAGTTCTTGAGGGAAGCTGCTGGCCTCTGGGCACTGTGGAGCGTGGGTCCTGGAGAAGCTACCCCCACTGCAGGAACCTGGCGCTAGAGAAGCCAAGTGCCGCAGTAGTCTTCTGGGCTAGCAAACTGGAACCAGGAAGCACAACCTCTTCCCTTCCTTGATGTCTCTCTAGTGTCCTCTACTGACAAAGCTTCAGTTGGCAGTTAACTTAAAAAATATTTAAAAGCCCAGATCCATTGTCACAGAGAAGGCAAAAAGGATGAATTTGGAATAAACTAATAACTGGCAGAGTTTGATTCTTTACCCCACTCTCCCCTGGCACCTCTGTTAGAGATCCACAGTAATAAAAATGTTGGAGATCTGGAACTTAATCTTATAACCCCCTGGTGAATCTATAAACTTTTTCAAGGGCTTTAACAGTTCCAAAGGCCTCTGTTACTCAGTAGAGAAAACTCTTCTCTTCTATATATTACATAGATGTCTGAGAATAAATTGGAAAATAATGTCTACACATAGCAAGGATTTTGATTTAACAGCTTACGAATTTTTGACTTGAAATTACCCTTTTTAAAAGTTTGCCATATACCTCTTCAAAGAAAGAATATGCCAAGTTTATTTAAGATGGGAATATAGATGTATTCTCTTGCTTCCCAGCTTTTGCACCTGCCCTGTTGTGAGAAGTTTTCTTCCATCTTAGACTTTTCCTCTAGCTGTTCTTCAGCTTTCAGCTTTCACTGTCACTTCCTCTAGGATGCCTTCCCTGGTCTATCTAGAGTTGGCTAGGGTGGACTAACGTCCTGTACTCTCACTGAACACATCATATTGTGAATGCCCTTTTTTGTTTGTATCACCAGTGTTCATCATGTCTGTACTGGAGAGAACAGGAACTGTCTTGTTCCCTCATAAATGCCTACAGCTTACTCAGCACAGTGCATATTACATGGTGTTAAAGATTTGTAGAGTAAATAAAATGGTCAGTGTGGTACTGTTTACTTGATTATCAATATCAGGGTCTAATGTCACATCTCATACTACATTTTAATTTTTTTTGCATTTTAGTTTTTCTTGTTACACAAAATACTGTAAATTTAGTAACTATCAAACCACCTTGAAATATCTGCTTCACACTTTCTTTCAGGTTCCTTTTTTGCCGGGAGATTCAGATCTTGATCAGCTTACAAGGATATTTGAAACTTTGGGCACGCCAACTGAGGAACAGTGGCCTGTAAACCTTCGTAATTTTCTTTGAAATTTAATTAGGATTCTATATAGTGCTGTCATGTGAATACTACTTAAAGAAATGCATTCATTATCTTAATTTACTAGTAATATATACTCATTGCGAAATTGATATGACATACAAATTAAAATTATGATGTACCATCCAGCCTTCCTGTATATATACAGCCCTTCCCCTACTTCAGGATTAATCACTATTAATTTAGTATGCAGCCTTGCTATGAGAACACATACACAAACACAAACATACATATGGAGTTGCATTTTCTGTAGTTTGCTCTTAACAAAAATGGGATCACAATTTATAATGTTTTTTGCAACCAATTTGCTCATGTTACTTAATATTTATTATTGACCTCTCCCTTTTTAATAGCCGTGTAATATTTCATGGATATTTTATGTTACTTTAGCAACATCTTGATGGATTTAGGTATATTTCACTATCATTCTTAATGTATTTCAGAATTTTGATTAGTTTTAACCCATTATCTACAAAAAAGAAATGTTAAGTCTGTGATTTAAAGTGCTAAATTTTATATATTACAGTCCAGTAAAATAGTCTTACTTGTATACACTTAAATTAAAATTGTAGGCCTTCGATTTTCCTTCCTATTATAGTCCCATCTCCTGGGGAATAAGTTAGTGTTAGAAAAGAAAAATTTTAGACTGATTATTTACTTTCTGGTTAAAACTATAATGAAATCTGAAGCTGAAATTAAGTCCAAGGAGTTGGGTTTTTTTGTGTGTGTGCTGAGTTCCTCAACTTCCTGATTAAAAGTTTGCTTTTGTTTGTAATTGTAAAACATGCCCTAATAACTATCATTTATTGAAGTTATCATCTGCCATTAATGATAAGCTTTTCATAAATCATAATTCTCCCAACAATCCCATTATTTGGTACTGTTAATCCCATTTTACGGATGAGTTTTAGTGACCTAAGTTAAACAAACTCCAAAGTACTTAAAAGCTACAAAGTTCAAAGTACTTAACTTACCCAAGGCCACCTGGTGTGAGAGCTAGGGGGCTACAATCTGGGTCTATCTGACTCTAGAGTCATGCTCATAATATCTATTCTGTATTTTTCTCTTTGACATGATTTTCTAAATAGTAGTGGCTTACTGATGTTTCCTTTGGACTATTTAAAATTAAACTTATTTTGAGATTAGTGTAGATTTACATGCAACTGTAAGAAATATTAGTTATCCCTTGTATTTTATACCCAGCTTCCCACATTGGTGACATCTTGCAAAAGTACAGTATCCCAACCAGGATGTTGTCACTGATACAGTTAATACACAGGACATCACCAAAGAACATATCCATATGACAGTTTTATTATTTATTTCTTCATTTGAGATCTATATGCCTTTCAGTCCTTAAGTTTGAACTGTAAAAATATTTGCAGGATATGTGTAGTCTTCCAGATTTCGTGACATTTAAGAGTTTCCCTGGAATCCCGTTACAACACATCTTCATTGCGGCAGGAGATGACTTGCTAGATCTCATTCAAGGCTTGTTTTTATTTAATCCGTGTACTCGAATTACAGCCACACAGGTATGTTAGCATATCTTTCTTATATTAGGAAGTAGGAAGATGCTCTTAACTGTAGCTTTAACAAAATAGATTCATAAGATTTTCTGATATTCTTTTACTGGAAAGATATGTTTTTGATTTATTTTAAAGAATAACAATTTTCATCTTTTCCCCAAGCTGCAAGCACTGTTCAGACTGGTATTCTGTTACATTATGTACAAATAACTACAGGAGAATTTACTGTTGCTTAGGAACATATACATATCTATTTCATAATTAGTTCGCTTTTAAGTAGTTTACCTAGAGAGGAAAAAATTACAAGGTTTTTGTATTAAGACACTCATATATTTCAGTTAAACTTATGGTTTAATTTAAATATTGTGCCAAGACTAATAATGTCAACGTGATTTTTTTTTCCTCTTGTAAAATGCAATCCAGGTATACATGTTGGTCGTCATCACAGTCAGGAAGTTAGAATGGAAAGAAAATGGTATAGTCCAGTACAACTATATGCTTACAAGACATTGACAGATACTCTGAGTAGAAGAAACACGGAAACTGACAATTTTTAAGGGAAATCAAAATCAAAATGAGGAAAAAATTGGAAGACCAAGAATACCTGTTTTGATAAAAGAAGAGAGAGGTGTTCATCCAACACAAAATACAAGACATACGGGTTTGAAAATAAACCTATTTTGTTTTAAAAACAAGCACAAAAAGAAAAAAGGAGTCACAAAAACTTAAAATTGAGGCAGAGAAATGCAAAAATGCAATACAGGACAATGATCTGGCTCCATAAAAGAACAGATTGATTAAAATGAAATTCACACATGTTATACCTAACAAAACATGTTAACATACAATTATATCAAGACTATAAAGTGGATTTTTCACTAATATTTATTGCCTATCAAATTATTATTTAATGCGTTTATTTCTATAAGCCTTCTCTTTTTAGCAGTACATGCTACATTAATACATACATACTGGATATTTTACCATTAGGATTACCCTTCTAATTTCAAACAAGTAATTCATTGTTACCTTTTCACCCCTATGTATACACATTATCTCCATCATAAGAAACTTGAGACCAGGTTGTATTATCTAGAAAGTTGTTGTCAATTAATAGTAAAACTCAAAACTTACAAAAAAATACTTAGGTTGTATTTTGATAGAATGAGTTTGTAAAAATGGATTTTAGCTCATGGCTATCTTATCTTAAAGTTGAAATGAGATACCTTCCTTTCCTAGATCTCTATGTAGCTCAGAACTAGGTTAATTTACTTTTGGAAATACTGTGATTTGGAAGTAATACTTTTGAAATGCCATTCTTTTGAAGTAAGGAATCTCTAAATCATTACTGTAAATAAAATAATGTTGGCAGAAAATGCTCGAAAAGTTTATATGGGCTTCTTTTTGTTCCTAAGAGGATTATCCAAAAGGAAGTATCTTAAGTTATTTTAACTATTGAACAGTACTGTGATGCAAATAAAACTATGAAGTTGTTGAATTTATCATTTAGAATAAAACTATTTTTATTGGAATTTTGGGCTGAAGTAAAGAAGTTTTATCATGGATCAGTGCACTGGTAGTAACCTTGGTCAAGTCCATCCGAGTAAAATTTCTTTAAATTTGCAGTGAATTGTAACCCATTGTTTCCACCCCATTTCATCTTTTTAGAAGCTTTAAGAATTTGTATTTACGTGATTTGGAAATTGCATACATATAGACATTGTGACAAATAAACTTGGAAGTTCTATTTCAAATTTAGTATAGGCTGTTTAATTGTGGAAAAATTAGAAAGAAATGTCATTTCTTGTAGTAATGGAATATTTAGCCAATCTTAGGCTGCTAGATGTTTGTTTGTGGTAATGTGCATGTCAAAATACTTGAAATGAATTTTTTCTTCAGAGGACAGGTATTCACATAGTATTTTTAATATTCTGAACAATTTTAGAAGTTAGATTGTTGTAAACACAGTTCAGATATTCACTTAAAACCTTACTTTATTTGGCATTTTCTTTTAAAAGGCACTGAAAACTAAGTATTTCAGTAATCGGCCAGGGCCAACACCTGGATGTCACCTTCCAAGACCAAACTGTCCATTGGAAACTTTAAAGGAGCAGCCAAATCCAGCTGTGGCAACAAAACGGAAGAGAACAGAGGCCTCAGAGCAAGGTAAAACTCTCATTTTATAGGAAATGAAATGAATTCAGAAAACTCCAGTGAATTAATGTATAGCTAGTGACTGAAGGGCAGCTGAGAAATGGAGATTGTGAGTTATTTGCTATTTAGGTAAATTTAATTTGTATAAAGTAGGTTGAATGTGGTATTTTTGCTCTATTTAATTCCATTAGGAATACTTACATAATGAATGCTACTTTAAAAGGACATGGGCACTTTTTGTGTATACCTTAAAGTTATAATACTGTCAGTATGTACCTTATCTCTTCATAAATTGCTGCTGGTACACTGTATATCTAATGTTTAACAAGTACTATTTAGAAAATCAAAGCAAATAAAATAAATGTAGTTGGAATGCAATGATTGGTTGGTTAATTGCCAAAAGATTAAATTTGAACAACCTCGTTTTTTTCTGTTTTTTTTTTTTCCCCCTACTTAGGAGTATTACCCAAGAAGCTAATTTTTTAGTTACAGAGAACACTGGACAGTATTTTACTACTGAAAGAAATAATCAAAAAGGGAAATAATGGAAAAATAGTAAACATTAAGTAAATGCTGTAGAAGGAATTTGTAAATATTCTACACATGTAAAATATGTAAAACTGGGTCATTTTTATTAAATATATTTTAGAACAAACTTAATTCTACTTTTTCTGAGTATAATGCAAAAGTAAGATAAGTTCAGTTCCCTGAAATGTAGAATTGCAGATACACTACAGATACCCTAATAAAAATAATTATCAGTGATTTTGATGATCTGGTCCGTATAGCATCACAAATTTGTAGTAGCAGATACAGTATTTAAAAACAGGAAAATAGTAGTAATGTAGCAAATACCCAGACTTGACCAGTGTTAATATACTAAATTGGAAAAAAAGAAAAAAATTACAGATAAAATTGAGGCTCCTTTAATAGGCATTCCATTCTGTTTCTTCCTTTCACCCTCAAAAGGGAGTGACTCTCAGGAAATGAGTATGTTCTCCCTTGATTTTGTAAGAATGCATATGGTAATATACAGCACTGTTTTGGGTCTCAGAATTTTATATGAGTGATAGACTGTACCTCTCATACTACAATTTTTTTTGGCTCAAAATCTTTTAATTCCTTCTATGTAATATGTGTAAGTCTAGTTTATTTAATTGCCATATCATATAATAATATACATAATCTTATGTATACAGTACTACTTAATGCTGTATTTATGGACTGTTTTCTTTTGTTGCATAAAAATTACCATAAATGTAGCAGCTTTAAAGTAACACAAATTCGTTAGTAACAGTTTTATAGGTCAGATAATCTGGCATGCTCTACTTTCTTTTTTGGCATAAGCCAAAGTCAAGATGTCAGTCACACTGGACTCTTATCTGAGGCTTTAGGAAGAAGCTGCTTCCAAGCTCATTCAATTCAGGCCATTTTAATGCATGTGCCTCCTGTCCTTGATAGCTGTCAACCAGGGCCTGTCTCGGTTTCTTAAGGCAGTCTACATGCCCTGTCACATATGGTACTCTCCATCTATAAGCCAGCAAGTTGTTGAATCACCCATGTGCTTCAAATGTGTCTGGCTTCCTTATCTGCTTTTTTTTTTAAAAAGGTCTCTCCTCATTGAGTTATCCATATATTAAGGTCAACTCACTTGGGATTTTAATTACATCCTAAAAATTTCTGTAGCAGTACCTAGATTAGTGCTTGAATAATCAGGACTGGGATCTTGCAAGGGCCCATCTTAGAATTCTGCCACATGGACGTTGAGGTTAGTTTCAATTTTTCACAATTATAAAAAAATGTAATGTTTACATGCATATAAGTTTGTCTAATGTATATACTTAGAATTATAATTGTGACGTCACAAAGTATGCATTTGCAGTTAGTGTTAATATGGCCATAGTTCTCCAAAGCAGTTGTACACACTGTTCACTGGTTTAAAAATGGTGAACCTTATACCATATACAAAAATTAACTCAAAATGGATTAAAGACCTAAACAATTAAACCCAAAACTATAAAAATTCTTAGAAGAAAAACATAGGAGGGAAGCTTCATGATTTTAGATTTGGTAAGGACTTTCTGTAAATGACCCCAAAAGCACAGGCAACAAAAGTAAAAAATAGGTAAATTGGACCACATCAAAATAAAAAACTTGTATGCATCAAAGGACATAGTGAACAGAGTGAAAAGGCAAGCTATAGAAGGGGAGAAAATATTTGTAAATCATATGTTGAAAGGGGTTACTATCAGAACATATCAAGAACCACTGTAACTCAATAACAAAAAAAAATAGATTTTAAAAATGGGCAAAGGACTTTAAGTAGACATTCAACCAAAGATGATTTAGAAAGAGCCAATTGGCACATGAAAAGATGCTCAGTGTCACTGATCATTACAGAAATTCAGGTCAAAACCACAAGGAGATATCACTTCAGATGGCTACTCTCAAAAAAGCCCAGAAATAACAAGTATTGCCGAGGATGTGGAGAAATTGGGAACCTTGTGCACTGTTGGTAGTAATGTAAAATGATGCAGCTGCTTTGGAGAACTGGCATTTTCCACAAGAAATTAAAAATGGACTTACCATATGATACAGCAGTTTCACTTCTAAGTATATAATGCAAAATACTGAATGCAGGATCTCAAATATATACCTTCATCAAAATTGTGTGAAAGTATATTTTATCTCTTAATCTCAAGCACCCAAATGATCTTGTGAACTTTGCTAATTTGATTTCACTATTACATTTGATTTCTACTGTGGTTGAATATTCTTGTTTGCTAACTATAATCTCTCTTATGAACCGTTGATTCAGATTCTTTGTCCATCTATCAGCTGGAGTGTAACAAATTTTATTAATTTATATGAATTTGTTTTATATATATATATACACACATATTAAAAAAGAATCTCTAGTTTTTATAACTTGATTTTTTTTTTACTCTTCCAATTTTGGTATTGTTAAGTAATCCCAGATCCTTCCTTTCCTTACCTTTTATTTTATATTAAATTATTATATATACTAGATCTGTATATGATGTTTATTCTATTGGTACTATACTACACTGCCAGTCAAAGATCCCTGAAGTCAATCTAAATAGTTTAAGTAATTTTTGTTTTTTCTAAAAAATCAATATTTTTTGGTTTTACTATGGCAAATACTGAAAATTTCATACAGTAATGTAGTTTATAGATAAGCTATACCAACACAGATGTTAATGTTTCTTACAGAAAATGTCAAGTATTTCAGCGGCCTCCTAAAATTTAGAAATACCCAGGAAACATAGCTTCTGAAGATGTACCAACATTTACACAATCCTTTTTCAAAATCTCTTAATAGAAACAGCTCTCAATTCTGATATCAACAACCATTTTTTTCTTTAAAACATGATATTTGATGGCAAAGAATGGGCTCTTTTACGAGTTATTGTGTAATTTTGGTCTGTGTGAAGGTGCTGAACTGAACAAATGCAGCCCACAGAATTTAAAATTTGAACACTTGAATACACAGAATCATGCAAAATTCTGGCAGAGTATTCTGAAGCTTTCTGCCAGGGGTTTTGAAATGGAAAATTGTCTTTCATAGGATTTTTTTCTTTATTTTCTTTTGAGTTGGTGTTTTTGTCTTCCAGTGCCCGAGCAAGCATGTAACTAACTTTTCTTTGATGAGCCAAAGCTTCTTCTTTATCATTTAACTGCATGCACAGAAATTTAAAATGTACCAGTTAATAAATCACAGAACGTAGAGCTATAAACAGAAGAGTATTTTATTGAAATGTTCAATCTTTGATCTGTCAAGTCAGTATGAAATTAATTAGTTGTCCACTGATTTCCAAGCATTGTACAATATGTTATTTAGGATTTTTTATATAATAGAAGAGAGACAACAGTGTTACTGCTGCTGAAAATTTTGTAAGTCATCTGAAGAGAGAGAGGAAAAATACATGGTATGTGTGTATGTATGTATTATATAATATCAATATGCACTTAATCTCTGTAAAATAATGTTGAAGTTACTTGTATGTAAAGTTTTATATATGGACATGCAAATAAATAACTTTAATACTCTTCTGTAGATAAGTATATTCCTATAAGATGAGTCTCTTAGTTATCTGTGAAATGGGGAATAATATAATAAGACCAATTTCAGGGTTGTGGTAATTAAAGGATATAAGGTATAAGGAAGTTCCATGAACACTTAAAAAATTCCTGAATAAAGAGATCTTGTCATGAGCTGTGTATATAAGTACAATGGCAGAGGTGTCTGGGCTTCATTATAAGCCCCCCTAACCCCCTTTTCAGAGGTGGAGCTTTAAACTTGCACAGGAATGGGGGAAGAGGGAAAGGCAGACAGGGAGTTTAAGGAGATCGTCAATCTGGAAGATGATGGATTAGTGGGAAAGGGCATAACAGGCAAGTATAGGGAGATAATGTTGAATTAATAGGAAGCAAAAAGATTAGCCTGACCACAACCTCTAACAAAAAGAAAGCAAAGATACTTACCAAATCTATTAGCATTTTAAAGACTTCTTGTGGATTGTCCTGGTCTGCAGTCCTCTTAGAACTGTGCTCTGAAGGGAGCATACCCAACAGTTTCTGCCCTAAGGTCTTCTTTCTTCTTTGTGATGGCAATCCTAAAATTGAACATGAAAATCCAGCTGAGATTTAAAAAGATAGTCACTAATGTAATTCCAGGAAAAGAGGTAAGTATGAGCCAAGGCTAATTCATTCCTAAGTCAGTGAGGCTGTCCTCTTCAGGAGGCTGTTTGCTGAGTGAGTCAGGCTGATTCACAGTGTAGTGGGAAGAGCACAGACGTTAGAGCCATGAAGGCAGACACAGGTGAGAGGACCGCAGAACCCAGACCAGTCAGTTGCCTGCTGCCCCATCTTCTCACACAGCTGCTCCTCGGCTCCTGACGGCGGCTGCTTCGAGGGAAAGGACGAAGCCCATGCTACCAGAACATCCCAGTCTTCCAGAGAAGCCAGCCATCCAGATTTGTGTCTGAAATCTCCCAATTTTAAACGTCAGCCACTTAACCCACATTATTTGAGAACATTGTGCAGACCCAACAAAACTTGTCTGCAGACCACAGGTGGCCTCTGGACCATGAAAACTGCTTTAAAGCCAGAAAAACTTGGACTGGAATCCTTATTTAGCCACTTACTAAATGACCTTGAACATCTGAGCTTTGTTTCCTCTAGCTTGAGAATGATAGTACCTATGCCTCAGGGTTGCTATGCCATAAAATAACAGCACAGAGCTGGGGGTGGGGAGTGAGCACTTAGTGTTTAATGGATACCAAGTTTTTGGGAAGATGGACAAGTTCTGGAGATGGATCTGGTAATGATTATACAACAATATGAATGTATGTAATCCCACTTAAAAATGATTAACATGGTAAATTTTACCTATATTTTACTATAATTAAAAACAAAAACAGCATAGTGTGAAAAACACCTAGCCCAGGTACTGACAAAATGTTTAGAAGGCCACATCCTGAAATATGTACACTGCTGTTCTTCATCCATAGAAATGATGCAATTTGTAGCAGAAGGTACAAAATTTATGGATTTATATAAAGAAAATTTCAAGATGTTTTTCGAATGCTCTGCATTTGGAATGCTCTGCATATGGTCTAGTGAAAAACTTGAGGGCAGATAAGGGACAATTCACTTTACACCCAATCCTGATAAACCAGTGACTGGCTCTCAACCTCCTCTGAGAGCAACTGTGGCAAAGCAGGAAAGCCAGACAAGTTGATGCACTGATCAGCTTTGATGAGTGGATGCATTTGTGTCTCTATTTTCAGTCTAAAAAAAAGAAGTATGCTTAAAACCTATCTCTCAGAATTTAAGCTGCCATATCAAGAAGAAAAGTTGGTACTTTGTGTTAACTATATGGAAAATGACCTCCATCATCCTGTACCTCTTCAGATGACTAAAATATGCTAACAAAATGAATCAGTCTTACTAAGAAACTCACAAAGAGCTACTGAAACTTGTATGGATTTGTAAAGGCTTTTCAGAGCTGAATTAACTATTTTAAATTCTGCTTCCAGCCTCTCTCAGTGCTTCAATGGAAAACAAAGATTCAGAGCTATACTTCTGAAATCGTATTTTCTATGGAAAAGTTCCTGAGGTTTGTCAATAGCTAACTAAGGAAGGCAGGAATTCTCAAACATAAAATGAATACATACTCAAGTGTTGAAGTGAATATTAATCTACCTCTGGAAAAACCAGCTTAATCTACTTAGTACTATCCTTTTGGCCACCTGCCATGCACAGCTGTGGGGTGGGCTTCTCTGTAGGTGACAGACTCTGTAGGCTTTCATATGCCTACTTTAACCATGCCTTTCCCCTCCTTCTTTCTTCTATAACTTTTCTCCCTACCTTCCATCAAAACAAACAGGCAGTTAAGGTCCGGTTTCCAAGGGGATTTGCCTTTGGTCAACACAGAACACCAAGGCTAACCTCAAAGAGTACCTTTGAAACTTTTTCAGTCCGGATCCCGTCCCAAGGGCCTAGCTGAGAGAAGAGTTGCCTGAGGAAGATCACCTACACATCTGTTGTCCGTGGTAGAGCTAGATATTAACGTTTAACACTGATCCCTAAAAGGCTAAATACATGGGCTTTGTTAGCTTATTTCCCTGGCAAAATCATCTACCTTGAGTTGGACATTAAGGTTATACCTTCAGTTTATATCAGGGGGTTACTGTAGGAAACAGCCATATAAACATTGATTTTGTATTTATTATAAATGACTATTAAGGTCTTAGCCATTATATTTGCTCAATGATTGCTATAAGTCTCATGTCAGAAAACACAGAAGTTAAATTTCAGGATAATGTGAAATGTCTAAGAATGAGAGTTGAGAAACATTTCCCCTTTTTGAGCAAACTTCCACCTGATGGGCACTCTAAATGTAAACTTTTATGGTCTGCTCTTACCTACTTTCATAGTTCTTATTTACTACTTCTATTTTATCATCCTGTAAACTTCTTACCATTTCTGTAAAAAGAGGGGTAAAATTTAGCTAATGAGGCTAAAATTCACAACACTTGCCCTGTATACTAATATGTACTCTTTGTAAAGAAGTATTTCAAACAAAATAGGTATCTACTATTAAAGGTCATTTTTAATATAAGATTCTTATTAGTCTCAAACTTCATCTGAAAATGTAATACTGCAATTAGGATTATGGATTTTAACATATTAGAAAATGTTGAGGAATAGTTACCAGAATTTTAATACTAAAACATTTAAATTTCTTACAAACTTCAATTTACTCTTCCTTGACTGATAAATGGTTTCAAATTGGAATTTAATTGGAACTTTAAATTGAAGCAGTGTAAATTCTACTGAATAATACTGATAAATGAAAACATTTATATTCTCTATCATATTAACTGTACATAATCAACATCTACTGTTACCAGAAACAACCGAAATTATCCCTGATTATTGATCATTTAGAGAAACTAAAATTTCTAAAAAGTAACAGCTACTTTGTTTATATGGGCCAATCTTCAATTTCAATTTTATTTCTGTTATGCCATTTTGTTTTATTTACAATAATACTCAGAAATGGCCATGAACTTTTGATAGGCTTGTGTACCAAAATCTAAACCTTAACTTCTGTTTCATATTTTTGTAAGAATATTTTATTAGTAAGATTTTTCCTCTGCCCCTCAATGTCTCTTCCTGAATCACACATTTCAATAAAGTTTAATTAGATAAATACATTTAAGGTTGCATTTCACTGTCACTTTCAATATTACTTCCTCCTCGGCAGTTTTCCTTTAATTATCTAGTGCTCTTAATTTTTTTCCACTAAACATGGTCTTGTTTAAATGTAATAGAAGAGCACTAAAAAAGACTCTTCTGTTATTTTAGTTTTGTTTCTCCCAATAGCTCATGTGCATATGTAACATCCAGAGATCTCCTTTTTTCCATAGTTGCTAAATTTTAAAATAAATCACAATTATATGTAAATTTCAGTTATAGTCTCTATCATATTAACTGTACATAATCAACTTCTACTGTAACCAGAAACAACCTAAATTACACCTGATTGTTGACATAATTTATACTTACCCTCTTCAAGGGGGTTCAAATTTATCCATTTTGTTGCTTTTTTACACATTACATCCGTTTGTGTCAATCTTAGTGCCTGGTCATTTTTCCTCATTAATTGTTGCTCAAATGCAATCCTGAAAGCATCTGCCATTATGTAAGCTTCTTCTTTACTTTTCTGCAAAAGTCCCAACTGGTTTTGAAAGAAAATTTGAGAGAGTCAGAGGCAACACCCGAACAATTCTTGCCTGAATGCTGAGTCAGATAGCAGATGAAGTCTCCCTGCCTAGTCTGGGTCTACTGTCTGTCTCTGATCTGTTTAACCTACTTAAACTAATCAGTACTTGCCAATTCTCTTCTGCAGCAGCTGCCAGATCTCAACTAGATTACCTTGTGTCAGTCAATTCCCTATCAGTCCAGCTCGTGGACCGCATTACCTTACACAGACCCTGTGCCTGTCCTACTCAATGAGGCAGAGGGGAGAATGCCAAAATACATTTCAGTTCTGCCTGGGGCCATTCCAGAAAATACCACTGAAAATAATTACGAGTATCACCTTTAAATACCTCCCATAGTTGACCCTTACTCTAATCTATGTGATCTTATGCTTTTCTTAATGAATTGCTAATGTTTAGCTGTTAGCTTTCCTATATTTGAAGACCTTAAATTTCATACCTTCAATAAAGGTAAAACATTTTAAAAATGATGGTTGATGTACTGTATTTGTTATTAAAGCCTAATTATAATGGAAGCTATCATCCAATCAACTGCTGGGCATGTGCATGTCACTGTGCTAACATTTTATGTCTATTTGCTCTGCTTCTCAAAACAACCCTTCAAAGTAGTTATTACCCTCCATTTAATATATGTGTCCAAAACCATACAGCTAGAAAATGATGGAGCTAAGACTCAAACCTAGGTCTGGCTGGTACAAAGGTTCCTTCTACTGTACCTTGCTGCTTTTCTAATAAGCTTCATGTTTATCTCCATTAAAA